GGGCGAGTGGGAAACCCAGAGCCGCGGAGCGCGGGAGCCCGGGCAGCGCAGGGCGTGAGCGCAGGCGACCCGAGCCGCCGCCGTCCTCGCAGCCGCGGGCGCCGAGCGCAGCGAGCATGGCTTCCGCCGCCCGCACCTTCTTCCAGGTGCTGCTGCTGCTGCCTCCGCAGACCTGGAGCTCGGCAGAAGCGGGGAATCCACGTAAGTTCAGCGAATGCTTTGCTACTTGGGCGAGGCTACCTGGAAAACTTTGTATTTTCATTATTGGTGATATTTGGACTTGAACTTGCAGGGCATGCTCCTGAAAATAAAGAACCTTTAAGGAAACCTAGTCAATTGCAACCTGAAAAATAGAATTTTTTTTTTTACAGTAGACTTTCATCTTGTGGAGGGAGTTTAAAATATATGACGAATATTTGACTTTTTATCTATATATTTGAATGTACATTGAGAACGTTTTTTTTATAAAACTGAGAGGAACGTGGCAATAAGGGATTAGCCTACAAATGCTGTCTTTTTTTTTTTTTTTTTTTTAGGATTGTAGCACCTCAGGAATTAAGTCTAAGAGGGAAATAATTTGGCAGACATTACATCATATTGCATCAATTTAGATGTTAGCAGCGTACAGTTTTGCAGACGTTGGCAGCTTCAGAGTTAAGGTGCTAATTAACTCATGCGCTACGGGGATGGAGCACCTGTAGGTGAAGCTAAATTTTAGAACACAAATTTAATAACCTGCCGCTGCTAGCTCGAGGGCCGTGCCTTGCTAGGGAACTTCATTTCTCATAGTAGAAAGTTGTTGCTTACAGACAAAACTTAGTCGTTTAAGTGATCTTGAAAATTACACTTCTCTGGATGCTAATATTTTACATTTTTAAATTTGACATTGGAAGCCTTTATTAAAGAACGGGCTATATTTGAATACGATGCTAATATTCCGAATACTTCAGCAGAACCCAATGCACCCATATTTTATCATACATTAAAATATGTTAAAAGTATTTGCTCGGATTAAAT